ACACACACACACACACACACACACACGCACATAAATACAAACTGACACACATACGCACACACTGACATATCATAGACATTCATACCTAGCCAGGCAAACATATGGATGTGGTATCGCCTCAACAGTGGGTGTATATTCCTCAGCAAGATGAAGACGAGGATGGGAATGATAGAGGTATAAGGATGCAGTCTATTGTAAGCGTATTTGTCTTTCTGCATGAAGGAAAAGTACCAGCCGAAACCGACTGCAACGCCTACAGCCGCCATGCCAATACGAATGCCCCACTTCCGGCCTTGCTCTGCCTTGCTGTGCGACTGACTGTCCAGGTAAGTCATCAGCGCCTCAAAATGCGGGTAATTGTAGGCGCACAACATGCCAACAAAGCAGGCCCAGTGGTCCAAACCGGCACGGAACGACCACTCGTGCATAATGCTTCCTGTATTGTCGTGCAGCCCAAGCACGAAAGCGAAAGGTCTGAAGACCCACTCCGATACCCCCGGGATGTCGAAGATGATTGCGTTGCAGACGAAGTAGGCGAGAAATTTGAGTGCCATCTTGCGTGGTTTGGTGTTCCACGAACTGAACGTCCTCATGAACACATAGACGGTGAGGAACCAGTAAGTGTGCATGGCGCAGATGTAGTAGAGCATATACTCATTGTCCGTTACCATGACTACAAAGATGACGAGGAAGTTCAGTCGGAACAGCATCTTGACAATTCGGTAGCCAGAGAAGTCCTTTCGGATCCAGAAGAAGGAGAAGTTGCCTGGGGAGAAAGGGAGGAAGAACACCAGTTATGGCGAGGACCCTCAGTAAGTGCAATTGACTCATCTGAAACTCAACACAATTGATCCGAAAGCAGCAGTGAGCCTAAAGAAAATAAGAACTCCCCGATTTTTTCCCTATTATTAATTATGCAAACCCTCAAAACCGAAACCACCGGCTGAACCCCCCCCAAAAAAAATCTGGCGTTCCCAACAGATTTCGGCTCAAGCGGACTCCACTGCAGTTTCTTGTTTCTGTGGAATACATTATGTATTTGGCACCAGAAGTAATGGTGTGACGTCCTAATCGTTTCACCTTTAATAATGAGTCTACCACTATGGATCAAAACCTGCACCTCCCCTTGACATCCTAAGGACACTAGAGGAAGGAAAAACTCGAAAGAAAAAGTAAAAAATAAGTACAAATATGAATTTTGACTTTCTGCTTTTGCAGATAGCCCCAAGCATTCAATTTTTTTGACATTCAACAATAAGCCTTTATGTTCATTGTCCATAAAAACAGTATCAGAAGCAATTTTTAAAATTTTTTTTAGTGAAGGTCATTTTGTGAATCAGCAATTAAAACTGTCCGTGTCCTCTGCATAATACCCGTTGTTATCGATGTTTTGTGCACTCTCTTTGAGACCTTGACTTTCTTTTAGGTTTCTAAGGATTTTTTTCTTCAATCTCTTCTCTCAGAAATAAAAGGCTATAGAGAAACGTATCATGTTTATAATACCCCCCTCCCCTTTCCCATTCCACCCTTGTCTCTCGGATTCACCCCCCCCAAAAAAAACAACAACAACAAAACAACTAAGCAAATCAAAATAAAACAAACAAAACTAAACTGAACAACAAAGAGA